TTTTTTTTTTTGCACTTAAATTTTCAAATTCCATATTTTGCCCACAAATGTTGCTGCTATATTTTTTGACCACATGCATCATGATATTCCTTTTGGTTTCTCACTCTTTATCAGAAAATAACATGTAATGATAAACACATTGGGTGGATTTTTGGGGTTTTTCTTTTTTTTTGCTCCTTTCCCTCAAAATTTTCCTTCAGCTTTAATCATTGCAAAGAAAGATGGACAAAAAACATGCTTTGTAAATTCTGTTTCTTGATCTTGAAACTCTTTTCAAACATTTTGAAATGCACTTATCTTTGGGATCTTGTTGTTTTTTTTTATTCATTTAACCACAAGCAAGGTAATAATGCCACTAAGATGCAAGTGGTTTACTGAGAGTGAAAGAGAAGATTGTAGGAGAAGGAACTGAAACTTTAACATTCAATGTGTCTTTGCTTTTATAATTATAATTTTATAATTTATGCCACATCTAAGCTATGCTTAGAAAATCATTTGGGTCACTTTGACGTGGTGTAATGGTTAGCTAGCTTGTCTTGCTAGAACAATTACAACTGAGTGAGGTCAATCCTCATAGGGTACCCCATTTTCTTTGAGTTGTGTGTGTCATATATATTATATATACTGTATATACTCACGTATCATGTGACTTCTGAAGATCTAATTTTGAGGCTAATTTTAAAGTGGTGGGGGGGTCACATTATACATGAAATATAAAATTAGCGTATGTACTGCTGGCCCTGGCTATGCCATTGACCAAACTACAGGATGTTCCAAAAGTCATGTATCAATTGTCAGAAAACATACACTTGTGAAATAGCAACCAGGGAAATATGCATGACATCATCTTTCATAATTTGACCAAAAAAATTTTGTAATAATATATTGTCACTTACAGAAACAGGATTCTATTTGGTAAATAAATATAAAATTTACAAGGTTATCAATAGTAATGTGACTCTTGGAACACCCTGTATATATCAATTTACTGTAGTAAAATTAGCTTCAAAATTAGGTTTTCAAAGGTTGTATATGTTAATATATACAGTGTGTGTGTGTGTGTATATATATATATATATATACACACACACACATATATATAAGCAAATATATGGATATAAATCCGACAGTATGAAAGAAAAATACAGAAAAAACAAAATTCTGAATATGCATTATTAATGTTAAAATAAAGTCGACGTTGGACGTTTCGGTCTATTTAAGACCATCTTCATGGACATTTTCATTTAAACATAATTAACATTATAACTTATAACAATTTAACACAAAAGACGATGGACATAAGAGCCCAACTAATTCAAACAGATAACTGAAATTTTATACAGATCAGCGTTCTGTTTAAATATGATCACGTAGTCGTCTAGGTATGCGATATGTTGTTAAGACGTATTCAAGATGATTTCCAAAAATTAAAATATCAAAAAGTCAATTGAAAAATTTTATAAAAAGTTAAAGAAATCTCTTCTGTTGATGTTGGAATACGTAGTGAAACAAATGGTTCTTATATCTTCAACAAGCTTGAAAGTCCTTCCCGTTACAATGCAAATCCAAAAATGATTTCAAAAACGATGCAACAGTTCTAAAAAACAGTTCAATAAAAATTCCATTCCTTACTTGATCTATTATTCTCATCCAAGCTTGAAATCTTCCACGTTATAAAGTAAATTCAGGTTTGTATTTTCAGTAGACAGTATGTAAGCAAATATATGGATATAAATCCGACAGTATGAAAGAAAAATACAGAAAAAACAAAATTCTGAATATGCATTATTAATGTTAAAATAAAGTCGACGTCGGACGTTTCGGTCTATTTAAGACCATCTTCATGGACATTTTCATTTAAACATAATTAACATTATAACTTATAACAATTTAACACAAAAGACGATGGACATAAGATCCCAACTAATTCAAACAGATAACTGAAATTTTATACAAGATCAGCGTTCTGTTTAAATATGATCACGTAGTATATATATGAATGAGAGGCAAGTGTAAGAGTAAATTTTCAAAACAAATAAGATGATAAAAAATGTAAGCATCAAAGATAAAAAATTTTTAAAAAATTTATTTTAGAGTTCCTTATAACTATAACTCAGACCCATCAGCCATCATGATAATATACAGTGTCTCTTCAGCGACCAGCTTTCCTCTTTCTCTCGTGCGTTTGTTTTCTTTGTTTTGTTCTTATTCTTTGTTTCAATTACTTTTAATTTCATAGAACTGATTAACAGGTGTCCCTCTCTCTCTCTCTCTCTCGCTGTACCTCTGCCCCTTCTCTTTCTTCATTCTCCTCCCCTTTTTTGTTTTTACTTTCAGTTTCTACCTCTTCATCATACTCTCCTCTCACTCCTCATCTTTTTCTTTTTTTTTAATCCATACAAAGGATCATGATCACTACCACTTGCTCTCAGAAGCAACTTTTCTCCAAACTCACAAATCCAATTATGTTTCACCTGGTCATTATTTATGCTACATCCATTCTTATTGAATTGCCACACCTGGTCCCCATTCATTGTCCTTTGATTGACTCCAGATGGACTCTTCTTCAACAATAGACCCTCATCATCACTGATCCAAACATCCAATGTGACTTATTTGAGCCAAGGCTATCCATTCTTGTGTTCAGCTAGATAAATCTAGATATATCACAATCACAATACAACAAAGTTCTTTGGGTTCTCAAAAATATGGGTCCATTGACACTAGCAAGGTCTTGCCTGGTTTAATATGCTGCAGTTGATAAAATATTTACTGTAAAATTAATGAAAGTAACAATGAGGTTAAATATTGTCATACCAAAGTTGGCACAAGGCCAATAAATATTTCATTTCCTTCCAGAGATTAATAACATACTGAACTCAAAGGCATTAGCAGTAATTTTTATCTTAACCAAATACTGCATGAATTTGGTCCTATACCAAACTCAGCTTTTTTGTGACTATTGTGGATTTTACAAGTAGGATCTACAATTAATGGTCGGTTCTAATCAGGTTAACCTTATGAATTTAATGTTAAGTCTTATAAGACATATTTAAGTAGTCTTGGATTTTACAAGTTAGAACTATTTAGAAAATCAAAAAAAAATATTTTAAATTCTTTTATCTAGAGTTAAAATTTACAAAATCCACAATTGAAATGTGAGCTGTTTTGTTAAACTTGAAAGCTTGACTGGCAAACATCAAATATAGATGAATGTAACACTTGTTTACTTAATGTTGATTCCTATTTTCTTGTCTTCAGATAAACCCAGACTCTAGCTGCTCTCCTAAGGGTTCTTAATATAAACTCCTCACTTTTGACCCCGTCACTTTCCCAAACAAATCGGCAGACCCTGTTTATGCTCTGTTTGGTAACCTTTCAAATCCCCTGCAAGACAAAATTATCAGCTGAAGAATTGAAAAGGCCCAGCAAATTTTAGCTTAAGATTTTCCAACTAACCTTCATGTTAAGAAGCTGGGAGACTGATTTTGTTTGAAGGCCTGACAACATTGTCCCCTGTCAACACCAACTCTGCATTTCTTCACTATTACAACTTCATTGTTTTTGTGAAGAATATAGATCATTAGAAAAGTAACTGACTGATTATTGGTTAAGAAAATACATTGCCTCAAATGGAGAAGGGTTAACATTTGTAACCTGGACTGAATAATAAATACAGTGTTTCTTATTCCATTAAACAGATGTTTTTTCCCTGTCTATATTTCTGAGATGAGATATTTAATTATTTACACTATTTACATTGTTCGGACTGTTGTCTTCATCTTTGTTGCTATATTCATGACATTTCAGGTATTGTACACCCCAGCCTTGTTCAGGTGATTGGAATTTCAAACTGAACCCTTTATTTTTTCCATCAGGGTAGATTGTTCTTGGCATGGCATGTGGAACTAAAACAGTCTACACCAGTGGACAAAATAAAGGGTTCAGTTCGAAATTCCAATCATCTGAAGAAGGCCAAAGTGTAAAATGGTCGAAACATTGTGAATATGACAACGAAAGTGAGGACAATAGTTCAAACAATGTAAATAGTGTAGTTGCTTTTTCCATTATTTTCAGTGCACCAATTTTTCTTTTCTTTATGACCAAGTAAACTCTACTCAAGGGGTGTTTCGACCAACTACACCAAGAGACTTCTTCAGATCTAAAAATATGTAATTTTTCATACAGCCAGTCAGGAAGAATAAAATTTCAAAATAATTTAAATTTATTAAATGATTTTATCTTTTTTATATTTGTGTGTGTGTGTGTGTGTGTGTGTGTGTGTGTGTGTGTGTAAAAACATACCAGGTGTAACAGCAAAATTGTCCAATTGTTAGATTAAGCTTTGAACAGTTGTATTTTAAAAATGATTAAAGATATCTTACTGGAATTCTCCAAGGTTTTTATGACATTATTGGACTTTACTTTGAACAATAAAAATGTATTTAGCTCTAAGTTGATATGATGACCCCCCCCTCTTCCTGTTGTGTCCTTCTGATCCAATTTTTCCTTTCTACTGTTCCCTCTTTTTTTAAAGTTATTCACCATTCTCTTGATGGTTCTTGAATGGACTTTGAAGATGGAAGCCAGAGTATAAATGATGGTACTACTACTGAAGGCCTGAATGATCTTTTTCCTCTCACCGTTGCTCACTTAGAAAGACATAGTTGAGCTGACACAAAATGATTTTAGCCTGTTCTCTTTCTAGTTGAATAACTCAAAGGGTTTTACAGTGATTTTTACGACATATGATGTCAAGATGGTTAAACTTCTTATCTGAAAACCTTTAAAAAAGAAACTCTATTAGTTCAGTGGTTTTTTAGATATTAAACATTTTGTGGGATTGACAATTATCCCAGTTACACAGTTTGGACAATTTTGCTGTTACACTTGTTAGCTGATGAATCTAAATCTATACGTGGATTGTTGAAAAGTTCTTGGCCTGACCAAGAACTTCCAAATCTGATGTTTAGTTATTTGCTTAGATTTTGGGAAGTAGTTCAAGCCAAGAACTTTTCCAACTCTCCCTGTGTATAGTGAGAGAAAGTAAAAGGCATAGTAAGATGAGGGAAGGAAGGAAAGAAGAGCAGGAGGAGAGAGAGAGGAAGGAAAAGCAGAGAGAGAGAGCAGTGGGGGAGGCAAAGAAGGAGAGAAAAGGAGGAGGGGATGAAGAAAGGAAACAAGAACAGAAATAAGGGAGTATGAGGAGAGGAGATAGAGGGGGAAAGAAGACCACTGATAGGAAATGGGAGAGAGAAGAAAGAACACAGAAGACAGGAAAAGGGAGTGAGAACAATAAGAACAGGGGTAGGAGTGGGAAAGAGATCAAATGTTTTGTCCCCCCAACAATGCCCCCCCCCCTCCTCACAAACAGCCCTGAAGTTCTTCCTTTACAAGAATTTTGATCTTTTTCTCTGTTTTCCTTTTCCAGGTCTGGAAGCAGATAAATCCGTGGAAGTTTCAGAACAGGATTTAATTGGTCCAATATCCAGTATCCCGACTTCCGAACCAGACTATTTACTTTGGCTTGCATGGACATTCATCAGTGTTTGTAGCCTTTCCATGTTTTATGCGTCCAGCCTTGGCCAGCAATTGATCAACAAAATACACACATTGTGGCAGGAGCACCAACACATTGAGTAATTTCACAAACACTCTACAGTATGTGTGTGTGTGTGTGTGTGTGTAACTCATTGTCTGGAGATAAGTTATAATTTTTCACTTGGCATTTGACAGTTTTCCCAAAGAGGCAATTGGCTTCCACAAACAACACACCAACATTCACAATAAACTTACGACTTTCCAGTAATAATTCAGGTTTTTTTTTTTTTTTTTTAACCAAATTTTGTGAACAGACTTTGTGTTCCCCCCCCCCCCAGCTCCAAAGAAGAAATTTATAATGAAAAGGAATTAACTACAGAGATCTCATCTCTTTTCACTAAAAGGTCATCATTCCAGAGAAAATTGTCACTTTAATTTTTTTAACAATATGCAAAATGCCCCCCCACCCCAAAATAAAAATTACCGGATTCTTTCATCAAAAAGATTTTATGAAATCTTGATATTATTAGCCAGTGATTTAATGGAAAGACTTTTAACAATTCCAAATTTATTAATAATATTTTGATTAGTATTTTTGCCATTTTAATTTCTGTTGCTTTTTATTGCAACTCCTAGATTGTCCTTCCACAACTGTTAGTAATCAATAATGGGACAGAAATAAAGAAATACCATATTTGTCTTCACAAAAAGACAATTTTTCTTATTTTTAAAACGTACCAAAATGCCCTGCCCTGCCCCTATTACAGCCGTGTTACAAATGGGAGGTAACCAAGTGCTGTACTGGTAGGCTTAGGGCATCAGATGAACCTATGTCCACTAGGCATAAAATTTTTTACTACTAATAAAATATTGAAAACAAGCCAAATCATCGGTCTATTGGTGACAATGTACATCAAATTGCTTACACTATGTTGGCAGTTAAAAGGGAAGCTTACATCATCACAATCTACCTCCTAACTTATAATACATAACCCACACAAGATATACAGTGTTTCATTAACAACTGTGTCACCTTTAACAGACATTTGTTTATTGTCTTATCTAGAACTAAAAATGGTCCTAAAAACTTGAAAACCATGTTAGCAAACTTCAGCTACCTTTCAACCATTTGCAATGAGTGGATGGTAATAAAAAAGGCAGCATTCCTAAATTCTTCGCTTCAAATTATTGTTCTGTCAAAAGCCAAATTATCGTTTTTGGTTTTAAATCACGGTATTGTTTTGAAACACTGCTGAAATATAAATCCATATCGGATTTTTATAATCTTCCAATAAGACATGTATACTACATTGTTATGACTGCCATTGCTATATTAACTGCAGTAGATCCTTTTATTTTGTCATGGCATTGCTTATCGGTACATCATATGAAGAATGTAACAACTAAAGTCTTCATAGCTTTAAGAGATAAATGCAGAGAATTATTGTAAGAAACGAATAAAATATTGTATAGATTTTAAAATAATCATATTATTAGCAGTGGTGTGCAACCCTGTTGCCCACCTAGTGGCCGTTCATGGTAACATAAAACATCACAACCAGAAATTTCTTTTTGTTAATCAGTATCACCCTGTGCAAGGCAGTAAAGCCACCAAGACACAATAGGTTACAACGTGTGGAAGAATTAAGAATAGAAACGTTAATAATGTGTGGAAAGAGTCGTCAGGAGGATAGTAGATATTGACTGACATTGCATTTAAATTTTTGCAGATTAAAGTTGGTTGGAAAGCATGGAGCCACAACGGAGTTTCACAAGCAAGAAGTGTGAGAAAAGAAACTGCTAGCATAGAATTTACATCTACTAGCCAATTCAAATGTAAAGTCTAGTACTGTGCTTAAATTCAAAAGTCTAGGCACCACAGCTATGATTTTGTTCCAAAACTTAATGTTTAAACTTTTTTCCTCAAAAAACGGTGACAATTTGGAAAAAAATATTTTGTGTTGTTATTTATCATGTCAAAGCCCAACTTTCAAATTGAGTGTGATACCATGGTTCCAAAATTGACCTACCTTAATGGACCAGTACTCATTGATATAAATGTTGCAGTATTTCTTCTCTGCTTTGGTAAATTTCATTTAGTTTCTTTTGAAGGTTAAAACTACAATATATATAATTTCATACTTTATTCCTGTCTACTGTTATCTTACCGTTAAAATATTACACTTTCATATACAGTCAAACATTTTTGCCTACAAATCCACTTCAAAATATATTTCGATAAATATATTATGAAACATACTAAAAAAAAGGTTTTCCCTAAAATATCCTTGTAAAATGAGGGTGAGGGCATTTTATGTGAAGGCAAATATGGTAAGCTTTTAGCAAGACTTGAACTTGCATCCTTTACCTTTGGAAGTCTGCCTTAATGTGACAATCTCTTTCATCAATTCAGCTCTGAAGGTCAAGCAATTAGAATAATTCAAATCTTGTTAACTTGCCTTCATTGCTTTTTTATTGTTTTTACATCCCCCACCCATCATTTGATGGGAAGATTACAAGATTTCTGTTAATTTTTATCATAAATCCTAAATTGTTACTCCAGATTTCAAATTTCAGTTATCTATTGTGTTAAGGTGACAGCCGATCTGTTTTTAACGAGATGAAATTCATTCGCCATTCCCTGCTTCTAACTCTTTCAAGAGCTTTTTCTGTTTCTTTAGACCCTGTTTTACAGGTGAACTGAAACCTGATGCCATTTTGCAACACCAATACCACTTTGGTCATTGAAACAAAAAAAAACCTGCAGTGGAATCCTTCCCATTATATCGGCCCACCATCTCTGCCCTTTTACTGACTGATTTTTTTTCTCTATATTGTTGGTAACAACCTTTCTCTTTAGCCATAAATTTTTATGGCATGATGTATTTTTATCTAAGGGCAGCTTCTTTGTCTAAATATAATTTCAAACCCTCAAGTTTTAAGCAATATAAAAAATGAAGATTCTACTAAAAAAAAGAGGAAATGGTTTGGTATAGAATTTGGAGACTTGAAATGTCAGCCTCCTGCTACTAAACATTATTCAAACAATTATTGATACAGAAAGAAATTTAGATTAAAACCCAGTTGCAGATTAAATAGTGTTTTCATTTAATAAAACATATCAAAAAATATGTGTAAGCACAGAATGTAATCTACTTCTGTATATGGATGTGCAAGTGGTGTAATAACAGCTCAAAATCAGAGAGCAGGGTTCAAATCCCAGTTGAGGTCGCTACTTTCATCTACGCACAAATACCCTTGGAAAAGGTATAAATCTATTTCTGTCTAGCTGTGGGTTAAATAACAGGGCAGTCTAGGTTCTGTAGCCTTGATTGGCAACTAGTCTAGGAGAAAGATAACTCTGAATTCAAAACAGTATGTAACCCTGGTGAAGCACATACTATGCAGATTAGGAAAAGATTGTGGAGTTCACATTGACTGTGATCCTGACTACGGTACCCCCCTTCTTTCTATGTGTTGCTCTATCACTATTTCCATGGAACTACATTCCTTAAGTCCACCAATTCTAACTTTCATGACTAAAACCTGCCATGGCATGTGCATTGTAGCAAACTACCTTTATTCCCTTCACATTCTGTTAAGTAGGTTATGTGTTGCTTTCCTCTCTCCCTTTTGCCTTTAATATATATGTCCTGTGTGTGTTATATTCCCTGAGCCATCTTTTCTCATTATGTACCCAAGAAGTTCCAACTGTCTCTCTTTCTGATTTATAAGTGTCCTTTTTATTTCCATTTCCCTTAAAACTTTGTGGTTCACATGTTCAGTCTGCAGTATTCTCAGCATCCTTCTGTAGAACCACATTTCTGCCTCAAATCTCTTCTTCATTTCTAGTGGGTGCTAGACAATCTCATCAGTGGAACATATTTTAAGAGAGTATTAAAATACAGTTAATTCTCATCTGGTATAAAAAAAAAAAAACTGTATGCGTATATTGCATTTTAGTCTTTTCCTTTTACATGGATGAGCAGGTGGTATAAAGGATGAGAAATATTTATTAAGATTCAGTTTCAAACAGTTCCAATGCTTTAACAATTTAAGATGTACATCATTAGTTGGCCAGAAGTAAATTTGATTGATTGAATCCCATAATCCATTAGGATTGTAGGAACGATGTGACACTATTTGTTACTGGTAAATAATAATAATTTTTTCCTTTTAGATAGAAGAAACAATATATCAATAGTACATCATGGAAAGATTGAAGATTTTTATTTTCTCAAAAGCCAAGAACCAAACGACTAACTTAAAACAACACTCAATCTTACAACTGAACATATAGTAGATAATTTTGACATTTGATGGATGACTGCCATTATGAACTGGGAAGCCAGAAGTGGAGAGAATTGAATAAGACTTAAAAACATACTTCAGAGATAAGTTTTTTTTGTTTTTTTTTTTGCAGGGTGTGTGTAGGTGGGGGGGATGTCTCTGACAGGACCCAAAAGAGAAGAAAGCCATCTGTTTGTGTTCAAGTTGATGTGTGGAATGATAATTCATTTTGATTAACAAACTTGGAATTAATCTTCGACAGACAGTAGAAAACCATTAGTCGGAGGGTGACTGAGGTAGCGGGTGCAGATGAAATACTGATGAAGGTGGAGGAGCTATCCATGCTCACTGGGGAGTATTAGTGGAAGATGCTAAGAAGAGAAGGAAGAAGTTGTGAGGCAGATTGATGCCTGCGGCCATCATCTGAGGATAGGTGTGACACTATTTGTTACTGGTAATCATAAGGTTTTCTTTGAATAGAAGGAATGATATACTGACAGATCCCTGATAAAGAATGAATAAAACCAGTGTGAAAAATTGAAGAT